GCGCCTGACCAAGATTCCGCCTGCCTCAACTGAAGCCAAGGATTTAAATAGCTTTGCCTTTGGTTCACAGCCAGCGAATAAGCCGCAACAGCAGCTTCTGTCCAACAAGGCACTCGAGGCTCAGCGGCTCAATGAGAACGTCGTGACTTCCATGAAACAGTTGGTGCTGCCAATAGCCCATAAAACAGTGGAGAGACTGACCAGAATTCCGCCTGTCACAACTGAAGCCAAGGATTTAAATAGCCTTGCCTTGGGTCCACAGCCAGCGAGCAGGCAGCAATTGCCGTTAACCAAGTTTGAAGCGCAGCTTCCCAAGGATAATACATTGCAGCCATTTGTGAAAGTAGAGCTGCTGCCCAGGATTACGCCAGCCACAACCGGATTCAAGGATATTAAAAACTTTTCAGTTGGAATTTTGCCCTCTAGCAAGCAGCAGCTGCCCTTAGCTAATGCTAAACAAGGCTTAGTCAAGGCTCCAGGCCTCAGTGGCATTGGGTTAAGCAGCTTAGCACTGCCTGGCATCGGGAAACAACAGTTGAAGGATAATATTTTGACACCCACACCGCTACTTCCTAATCGCGTTTCAGTTGCAGCAGCGCCCAGTCCAGTCCAACTCCCAATATTGGCGTCAACTTCTGATTCTTTGTTAAACACACAGAAAATAACAACACCAGCACAAAAAACACACACCGTTGCACACACACAGCCACTGAGTAAACCAATTAACCAATTTGCATTTCAGTTAAACTTAAACTAATTAAGAATTCAATAATCAATAGGTGTTAAGCCAGCTCAGCAACCAATCAGTATAGTTGGCAATGCGGCAGCACGACCAGCCGTGACAGCAACCCAGCAGCAACAACAACCAACGAGCAAAGGGAGTAAGTTTCGAACCCAATTCAACTACTTGTTAAGTTTACTTACTCTTATAAATGTTCACAGCACTAACAGGTGGACAGCCAAAGCAGCGACCAGTACCAGTTAGCAGCAGCTCCGCCAATTTAAAGCCTAGTAAGCCTAGACACATACCCGTTCGTTAGCTCCTATTTATATTCCATATTTTCAAAGACTTAGGTGCAACTCTGTCGCAACCGGCTACAGGCAACTCAGCCAACTTCAAGCCAGGTATGCAATGACTACTTTATATTTGTTAAGTTTCATTTACTTGCATATATTTACAGCCTTAGGTGGAACTCAGACTCAGCAGAGACCGCAACCGTCAGGAGGCAGTTCAGCAAGTTTCACACCAAGTAAGCCTAGACAACTACCGTTAAGCGTTTAGATGTTATACGTTTTATGTATACTTGCAGCAAGTGCAGCTCAACCAGCCGTGACAGGAACCAATCAAATACAACCACCTAGCAGCGGCGCGGCAACTTATACGCCAAGTAAGCGAATGCAGCCAAAATCTATTCATTAATTATAACAGCAAACGGTTTGTTAGCAGCGAACACCGCACCGCAGTCAACAACCAACAAAGCATCAAAGTCAACAACCAGTACAGGAGCGACTGGCAGTGCAGATCTAACCGGCGACTTGTACAAATTCAAATACCTACTAGACTACAATGGACACGAGGAGACTGGTAGCCGGAATGGCGATAAGGTGGGCAACTACTTTGCCATCGGCGACGATGCTGTGGAGCGCATAGTCGAGTATATTGCGAACGAGTTCGGTTTCCAGCCGCACATAAGCTGGCGCAAACTGGAGGGAAAAGAGGCAGCACTGCCTGCCGACAACTCCCTGAAGCACTACGAGTTCAAGTGGTTCAACAAGGACACCGAGTGAAACAATAACTATGCCAATTAGTAACAGTTTACATGTAAATAAAGTAAAACAAGTAAGAAAACTCTAGTCGAGAGTGCTCGACTAGATACTACCCTGAAC